GGGAGGAAGCATTTAGGAACTAGAGGAAAGCTGTATTTTTCATTGTTGCTACATCTCACCCTGACTGGCACGTCTCCTCCCCGAGACCCCTCTGTAATTTACTTCTTATTTTTAATTCCAGTGTCTACTAGAGCTGCAGAATGAAGCTGTATTCATGTGGACTGCTGAACTGGAAAATATAGCCACTCTGTGCTTTAAGGCTTTAGAAAATTCCAATTATGGAGTCCGAGTGGCGGTGTCTAAACTCTTAGGAACAGTTATGGCAACAGCATTGATGCCAAAGCAGGCAACAGGTAATGTTATTTGCGACCCCCTCAATAGAGTATAATAGATAGTTGAAAATCTATGGGATGTTTTCTTGTAAACTAGTTACTATTGGGATGTTTTCTTGTAAACTAGTTACTATGCATAAACAGGTCACTTTAAGGGATTTAAATTATTAGGTTTATTTATCGACATTTTTTATATTGAAAATGTCAAGAGAAAATATGACAATTATGCTCCACGTATAAACAAATAAGATTTATCAAATGCTTTTGTATAATGTTCAATGGCTTGGAATCTAGTACTTGATATGCTTTGAGAGTTCAGTCTCTGGTGAGGAGATCCCCATGTACAGCACCATCCACATTTTCTTTCTTTTTGGTCAATACTATTAGCTGAATTGGTTTTTTCAAGTGACTTGGCGTCTCAAAGGTCCATAGAGATCCCTCAGGGAGAGTTCTAAGTATGACTGAGTGAGCCGAGCTTTGCAGTTTCCCCTTCCTTACTGCATTCCCAAATAACAGTGACATGTTACAGATGCAAGTCCTAGGCTTCCTATTTATTACTAGGGAAACCTTACCTAGGTTTATTGAGCTTTAATTTTCTCCTTTTTATAATAATTATTTAAATCAATGTACTGGATTCAATTAATGATGGTGATGATGATATTTTAAAATGCTACCTATGTGTCAGGCGCTGCATTAAACGTGTTCCAGAATTGCTTGCTTTAATCCTCGCAAAGCTCCCTTGAATTATAAATACTCTTGTTTTTCTCATTTTTTTGATGAAGAAATTGAGACTTAGAAATATTGTTTAATTTGTTTTCTAGTAGTGTCAGCTGCGATTTAAGTTCAGGCACTTAAATTCCAAACCCTAGGTCCTTAGCCAGTCACTGCCTTAGCTGTCGAGTGCTGCTCTAACAGAAGGACTGTTGATAGCTCAGGTTAAGACAAAGAAATTTGTTTGGGACCCTTGAAGTCTGAGTTCAGTAGTTTGTCTCTGTTTTGACTCTCGAGTAAGGTCCTGGTTTCGTTGAACTTTTGCTTCTCGGGAGTATTCATGTCTCCTTGGCAATTTTCTGTCCCTTCTCTCTTCCCTTGCTTGCTTATTTAATCTTGTTTATATTACAGAATTGATCAGCTCAAGACACACTGTCTTAATCATGCCTCATTAACATAATAATGATAACCCATTCCCAAATGGGATTATGACCACAGGGATAGAGGTTAGGAATTGTAAAATCTATTTTGGGAGGGACACAATTCCATTTCTTACAACCATGCTTTGTACTTCCCTGTACAGATTTTTTTGTGCTGTATGTGAAAGGGGTTTATAAATTATGAAGTTCTACCAGGGGTGGAAACTGCTATTAACTATTCTGAAAATGAAAAATTTGTAACAGTTCAAAAGGTCAGCAATGGATATTCAATGTAATATGATCATAGAATTCAAATAATATTTAGTTGGGAATATAATATTAAAAAGAAAATACATTATATTTTCTACCTAAATTGTCCACATATCATGTAAATGTAGAATTAAAACATACAATAAGGTTTTTCTTCTGTCAGCTTAGAAAATATAAACGATTATTTGGTATAAAACTTTGAAACAAGACAAGTATTCCCTTTGCAGTAACAAACAAACAAGTATTTACTTATTTAAAATTAACACCTTTTTTGGCCACCTTATGTTTTTATTCTTCTTTGTTTCCTTGTATTTACTAAACGTTTACACAGTAAAATAATTCCTATTGAACAATTTCAGTGCTGTGAGTTAAGCATTGAGCTACTAATGTCATGGTTAGTGGCTCAGGCCTACCAGTCTTTCTGTGTGAGAAGGCTGCTTCTGTAAAGCTGTGTAGTCTTAGAAACCCCAGGAGCTATGTGCTTTATAGGGTCACTTTCATTCAGAATGGACTTGAAGGAAGTAGGGAGGCGAAGACGTACTGTTCACTGACATTGATTACATCTTTCTCCGTATGCCAGTATTCTCATTATTTCTACTTGGTTGTTCCGTTTCCCTTCATCTAGTGTACCTGTCACCTCCATCTGCCATCACTTACCTATTGTTTTTTGCTTTAGGGTAGATAGTAAATATTTGGTCTGATATAGATGATTATTTAAAAGCACATAGTACTCAAAGGTTATTCTATTTCCCACCAAAATTTTATGAGCCTGTCTATTTTGACTGAAAGATGACCTCTGAGAATGGCTTCATTTCCAAGTTTAAAGGGTATCCCAGGGCAATAGTCTCAGGGGGTTTTCTAATATCTGCCAGTTCAATAAGCCTGGATTTATTTTTTTAAGGAATTAAAAGTAAAAAACTTTGTTCTACATTTTTTCCCGGTCAGAACAATTGTTAATGGCACCATTTAATTCTTCAGTGTAAGAGGCGAGGGGACAAAACTCCCCACGCCCTTCATAACTGTGCCCAGTGACCTCTTTCATCATAGTCCCTTTACTCTAAACGGCTTGTGAATATAGGCGTACCTTCCATCTCTGTTTTTATTTTAGTCCTCGAACGAAATTTAAAGCAAGCAAAGTCTCATTTGTTAGATCATGACGCAAAGGTTTGTATATTCATACAAATTTGTCAGGAAATTGACAGAAGAAGAAGCATGACAAATGTTATGCCTGCCTGGGTTGTGGAGTTTTGCTTGTTTGCTTTCCTTGTACCCCTCTCTGTTTTCCAAATTCTCTCCAGTGTATGTTAACTGGTATTTTCATAGCCAGAGAACCTGCCCTTACAAAGAATTACTTGACTTTCAAACTATTATTAGAAGATAGATTTAATTAATAACACCAAATCTGCTTTGAAATACGTTGGCTTATAAATTTTCCTTTCTTCCTGAAAGTAATGCGCCAGAACGTGAAGCGAGCAACATTAGATGAAGTCTTAGAACTCATGGCCACAGGATTCCTGCGTGGAGGGTCAGGTTTCTTAAAGAGTGGTGGAGAAATGTTGAAAGTTGGAGGGTCAGTTAATCGTGAAGTGAGAGTTGGAGTTACACAGGTTGGTCATATATACCTATATATAAACTAATTTTATTCATATCACATGAGATTTCGTGGAGGACTATCAATAAATAATCACCACACATCTACAAACTGTTTATATTGTCTTTCTTTCAACACATTCCTTCTATCCAATGAATGAATTATATTCGAACTCCAGATGGCATGCTGATATAAAAAGGTTTGATGTTTAAATGCTTACATCTACTATACATAAAAATCGCTAGAAGTTTTCTCAAATTTTACTTGGAAATGATAATATATAAAATAATTTGATTTCATTGAACTGTACTTGGGAAGCTTGAGGCATGAGGATTTTTGTGTTCTCCCACAAGCCTTATGACTAGATTGCATTTGCTATCAATGATCAATTACAGCCATAAGATTAAATTTGACTTGGAATTAGAATTTCAGATGATAATTAATACCAAATGTTCTGCTTCTATCTATATAAAAAGATGCAGTGGTTCTTTATGATCTTAGTAAAATTTACCCAACTTTGCCCCTGAAACAAGTTTGCATATAGGAAGCCATTTTTTCCTACAGAAAAGTGTCATAAATATTTTGTAGTCATAGGACATTGTTTATTTGGGACATTAAGATTATTTTTCTATAACCTGTTAAATTTGTGATTCTCAAAGTGAATTTAGCTATTCCCTCCCTCCCTTGCCGGTTTCTTAGTTTTTTTATGTAGGTGCTATTTAGTCAAAGATAATTCTGCCTGCCAGTAGTTCATGTGCTAGAATTTCTAAGGTCTCAAATTTTATATGTTCTGTTTTTAAATAAATATAAGGGAGCTTCAAAAGTGGTGGAACATTCTATTATCCTGTAATTCAAAAATTTTTATGAAGTTTTTGGAGCCGTTCATAATATACATTTTATTGTCACAAGTATTTCTATTATAATATTTATTTTATAGCACTTATTTTGCATGTTGTCAACAGTTTTTAGTTACTTAAGCTAACTTTAATGCATTTATAGAAATGTATCTGAAGTTGTTTCTTATTCTCTTTGTAGGCTTATGTTGTCTTTGTAACAACATTAGGTGGTCAGTGGTTGGAGCGTAGCTTTGCTACATTCTTGTCCCATGTACTTGATCTTGTTTCTCATCCTCGGGCAACACAAACACATGTAGAGGCTGTGTACTCAAGACGATGTGTGTCTTTTATCTTAAGAGCCACTGTGGGCAGTTTATTAGGCGAAAAAGCCCAGATAGCAGCTGCCAAAGAAATTTGCCAAGCTATTGGAAAACAAATGAATGCAGTAGGTAAGAATTGAAATTAATATGTTATTGATTGTCTTAGATGTATTGAGTCCTTTATTGTTGTTCTTAATAAATGCCATGCAAATCTGATTAGTTTATGTCTTTCTGGACATAATATTTTGTTATGTTTTGGGTGAAAATTTACCAAATGAGGTATCCATTTAACAATTTCAACATAATTTGTTCAGTGACACTGGTCACCTTTTACACAGTGTGTGAGTTTCTCAGTGTTCACCTTCTATTTGTTTCACTTCCTGTGATCTAGTTGCCCTGGTCCCTTGCCTTCTTTCGTCTTTGCTTTAAAGTAAGTGCTGACATTTGGTCACAGGTAGATTAGTATTTCAGGTGATAATTGTTATTTTGTAGATTGTGTTTTAATAAGCATTTTTATTGTATATTCTCTTTTGTTATTATAACTACATAATTACAGTGAAATAAAAATGTTCAGGAATTGGGTAGCATGCTTATAAGATTAGGTTTTCTGGTTTATTTCGGGTACCTACAAGATTTTCTACTCCTGTATAGAGTTATGGTCTTAGAAGCCCACAGGATCATTGCCCTATAGGATCACTATGAATAGGAATCAGATCCATGGCAGTGAGTTTGTTTTGTTATTGACAGATTTTATAGGTCTATTGCTGTATAGCAGCACTTTGGGTTGCTGTCTTTTAAGTAATGGATTTAAATCTATTTCTTATTTGGAGCTTGTCATTTTAGAGACAAATGTGCTAGTTTTTTTAACTGCGAAGCTTAAAAATTTTTTTTTATTGTGAATTAGGTAGGGGGATTTACATTTCAGACCATCAACTCTGTATTCAATAATTCAGGCCACTCATTACCCCACCCCTTAGTCTATCCTGTCTCCCCCGATAGTAGTGGGGAGGAGAACGCATTTAGGAACTAGAGGAAAGTTGTATGTTTCATCGTTGCTACACTGCACCCTCACTGGCTCGTCTCTTCCCCATGACCCTTCTGTAAGGGGATGTCAAGTTGCCTACAGCTGGATCTCGGGTCCCCAATCTGTACTCCCCCTCATTCACAATTATTTGATTTTTTTTGTTGTTGCTTGATACCTGATCCCTTTGACACCTCGTGATCACACAGGCTGGTGTGCTTCTTCCATGTGGGCTTTGTTGCTTCTGAGCTAGATGGCCACTTGTTTACCTTCAAGCCTTTTAGTCCCCCGGGCGCTATATCTTTTGATAGCTGAGCACCATTAGCTTTCTTCACCACTTTTGCTTATGCACCCATTTATCTTCAGTGATCATATCAGAGAGGTGAGCACACAGTGATATGATTTTTTGTTCCTGATACCTGATCCTTCGGCACCTTGTGATCACACAGGCTGGTGTGCTTCTTCCATGTGGGCTTTGTTGCAGAGCTTGATCTTTTATGTACGTTGTAGTTTGTTGCATCTTACATGCTCAGGTATATTACATATGGCACAATACTTTAGAATGTACTTGATGCAGACACAGTACCTTAGTATGACACTATTTTTTGTCACTTAAGTGTTGGGTTTCCCAGATAAGTTTTCTGATGAGAAATAACTGTTGCTTAATGCTCAGTAATCAATTGGTATGATTTAGAAACATAAACTGTATAAACCCTCCCTGACCCACCTAAAAAAAAATTGTATCACATTTTAATTCACCACAATGCATGATTCTGTGCTTCTAGAAGCAGTCGTGAATGATACGAGCAACGAAAACAAATCTGGGGCAGCCGATATTGCAGCCAGCCAGCACGTGATGGTCTGTGCCCTGCAAGAACTGGGGAGTCTGGTACAGAGCCTGAATGCCACTGCGTCCCCTCTTATTCAGGAAACTTCTATAGGTATGATTCATTAGCTGGAATACCTTTTACTGTTTTAATAAGTCATGGGGATAATTGATATTTAACTCCTGATTGATTGCTGCTTATTATCACCATTAGCCATCTCCATCCTTTGTTGAAAGTTGAATTTTAGTTAATATGCACTGTGATATCCAAAGGAGCCTGATTGCATAGGACTCTGCTTACTGCAAGGTCAAAAGTTTGAAGCCACCAGTCTCTCTGCAGGAGAACGAGACTCTCTGCTCCCATATACCTGTAAAACCCAAAGTGAGGGGGCGGGGGGGCGCGGTTCTACCCTTTTCTATAGGGTTGATAGGAGTTGGAATCAGTGTCATAGCAGTATATTTGTTTTGGTGGTGGTGGTGTTCTGTGATAGTGAATAAGGAGCCCTGGTGGCGCTGTCAGGTTAAAAGTCAGACTGCTAACCTCAAGATTGGCAATTCAAACCCACCAGCTGCTCCTTGAAAAAATGATGAGGCTTTCTGCATCTGGTAAGCTGTAGCTTCAGAAACCCTGTATTGTGTCGTTATGAATCAGCACTGATTTAGTGGCATTGGTGGTTTTGTTTGTTTGTTTGTTTGTTTTGCTTATGATAGTGAATATTAAACTCAATCCCCAAAGTGGTGGGAGCCAAATCAAAAAGAGTCATGGTGACTTTATGTCTCATCGTTCACTAATATTTATTGAAGACTCAATTTTACATTAGCATTCATGTTTTGCTAGATAGAATTGTACTGTGTTAATAAATATTTCATGAGCAATGTGTGTTTTTCACTAAGTTTTGAAACTGTGTGAAACAAGAATGATTGTGATTTTAATCGTGGCTCATACCTGGCCTGTCAGCCCCTGAGACCCTCTGCCTTCATCAGTGATGGCTTTGAGCGCTTCTCTTCCAGGACTTTTGGAGACCGTGACTTCAGTGCTGCTTCATCCAAGTATGGCAGCTCGGCTCGCCGCCGCCTGGTGTTTGCGCTGTGTGGCTGTGGCCTTGCCTTTCCAGCTGACACCATTTCTAGACAGGTGTGCAGAGCGGCTCAACAACTTGAAGACCTCACCTGAGGCTGTCAGTGGCTACAGTTTTGCAATGGCTGCTCTGTTAGGTGGAGTTCATCAGTGCCCGTTGGGCATTCCTCATGCCAAAGGAAAGGTATGCCCGAGACTGTAGGATTGTAAATGCTGTCATTCTTGTAGAGAGTAGATACCAATTCATATACCAGAGCACATACCAGTTCAGCAATTTCATCATGTGTAATTCAGTGCCATGGATTACATTCTTCAAGTTGTGCAGTCTGAGCTGTGCGTTTCTGTGTATAGATCATCAAAGGATAACAGTATTACTAAATTTGACATTTAATTATGATATAGGAATCATAGGCTTTGTCTGTAGTTCCATTTCAAAATTTAATTTAGACCTGAGCACATATTATATTATTGAAATATTAAGAGTTTTTCTCTTAAAAAAGAAGTTTTCCCCTAAGCCTTTAGGGCTAAAATTTTGCATTGCTAAGTGTGTTTTCTTTTAGAAAAATGAATACAAGACTAGTCACAAGGAGGTGGAGATTAAAGATGCTCCCAATGTCTTTTCCAAAATGCTATATCACTCCATTGGCCATGATATCAGTCGGCACTCCTCCCCTTGGTACATAGCTCCACCCCCCTACCCGCCCTCCCGGAGTTCTGCAGTCCACTGCCACACAGAGCTCCTGAAGTGTTAAGGAAATGACCCACCGGGTTGTGTGTGTGGCTAAATCCAAAATCCGAAGTTCAGACATTTATCTGGAGGATCTTTCTCATCCACAGGGTCGCACGAGCTGGTGAAAGCAGGGCAGGTGACAGGCTGCAACTCCTTTTCTGGAGGCCAGCCATACCCAGAACAAAAATGTCCCAAAGTTAAGACAGTGCTTCTTGCTTTTGTGAATGCTCAACCAGTTAGAAGAGGTCACAGAAAAAAGAAAAATGTGGAGGAACCCCCGTGGCAAAGTGGTTACACACTGGGCTGAGATCCACAAGGTCCGCAGTTCAAAACCACCAGTTGCTCCTCAGGAGAAAGATGGGGCTTTCTACTCCCATAAAGAGTGACACTCAAAAAAAATTTTTAAAAAGAAAAAAAAAGAAAAATGGCTTTGATCGAGGAGCTGTTTTTTCCTTCTTTCCCATAGGGAAGGGAGCCTTGGCGATGCGGTACATTGCACAAGGTTAGCAGTTTGAACTCACCAGCCAGAAAGATGAAACCGTAAATGTCTAGAAAAGAATGAGGGCAACATATGTACAAACATGCGTGATTCAATTGATGTCTGGATTGTGGTAAGAGTTGTACGAGCCCCCAATAAAATGATTAAAATTTAAAAAAAGATTCATAGCCTCGGAAACCCAGAGGAGCAGTTCTACTCTGTCACATAGGGCCACACGTTGAGTCAGAATTAACTCCATGGCAGTCAAGTTGAATTATTTTTTCCCCAAGGAAACAAAGGACGGTGACTTGAGTTCCTCCGTCTAGTGAAATGGAGACTGAACATCCCACCATAATCCTGTCTGTCAGCATAACAGAACGCTCTTCAAACTGGGATTGTAACCACAAATGTAGAGGCCAGGATTTACATCAGAAAAGGAATTATGGGTAGAAGGGCCATATTAAGTACTTGACTGCATTTCACTAAGCTACCCAAAGTAAACATTGTAGCTCAGTGGTAGAATTCTTGCCCTACCTGCCAGACACCCAAGTTTCAATCCAACCATTGTGCCTGTTAATGGTTGTTGGCGCTTTTGCTGTTCGATTCCAGACTACCACAATAAAGCGATTATTGCTATAATCGTTTCCCAGTGCATTGGGAGGAACTGGTGGCATAGTGGTTACACGTTGGCCTATGATCTGCAAAGTCTACAGTTTGAAATCCCCAGTGGGAAAAAGATGGGGCTTTCTCCTCCCATAATCAGAGTCTCAGACGGGCAGTTTTACCCTGCCCTATAGGGTTGCTATGAGTTGCCATCAACTCATGGCAGTAAGATTGAGTGCATTTGGAAGTCAGGTTTATACTAATTGTACTACTTATTATCGTCCATCAAGTGTGCAGTATCCTTATTTAAACGTTTGAAATATTGTGAGAATTACCAAAATGTGACACAGGGTCAAGAAGTGAACTCATTTTATTGCAAAGATGGTGCCGATAGACCTGGCACTAAACAGGGTTGCCACAGACCTTTAATTTATTTTTTTAAAAGTGCTATCTGCACAGTGCATGCAGTAAAGCACTATAAAATAGCGTACACTTGTTTTCTGAGTGTAATTAATGTTACTGGATTGTATGTTTAAAATTTTATGTTATCTACCCTGTTGGTGCAGTGGCTCTGAGTTGAACTGCTAACCAAAAGGTTTGTAGTTCAAAACCACCAGCCGCTCCACAGGAGAAAGATGGGGCTTTCTACTCTTGTAAAGCTTGTAAAGAGTTATAGTTTTGGAAACTCACAGCAGCAGTTTTCCCTAGCCCCATAGGGTCGTTGTGAGTTGGCATTAACTTGATGGCAGGGTGTTTGGGGTGTTTTAATACAATTAAATGATTTTTAACCAAAATAATAAAACCCCAATAACACGACTATTTAAAAGCTGTTAACAGAATATATCATAGGTTACCAAACTTATTTGGCTTACCATCCCTTTTCAGAAAAAAATTAGTGCCCGCTGGCAAAGAAAAACTTTGTATGTACTCTAGCCCATAATCTACAATAAAGTGTAGGTATCTGGTTTTGGATCATTCACGCACACACACTCCCGCCTGACCAGGGGGTAGTATCATCCTCTTTGGGAAACACTAGAATACGCTATTGCCAGTGGTCATATTAGCATTTTGATAATGCTTACTACAAACGGGATGCTTTTAATAAGTGAGTTTGATTGATCTCCCTGTTCTTCCTTCACTGAGGAAAGTACAGATAGCTCAGAGAAGCCCTGGAGGGACAATTATTAGGTGCCTGGCTGCTACCCAAAAGGCCTGCAGTCTGAACCCACCTGTAACTCCGAAGGAGGATCCTCTCCCGTGAAGATTACCATCTAGGGCAGCGGTTCTGAACCTGTGGGTCATGACTCTTTTGGGGATCGAACAACCCTTTCACATGGGCCGCCTGATTCATAACTGTAGCAAAATACAATTATGAAGTAGCAATGAAAATAATTTGATGGCTGGGGTCACCACAACATGAGGAACTGTATTGAAGGGCCGCGGCATTAGGAAGGCTGAGAACCACTCTAGGGATTCCTCAAGGCAGTGCTACTCTGTCCTCTGGTGGCTGTGGATGGGACTCCACCTGATGGCATACAGCAGCAAAGAGAGTCCGCCTTAATCTGCTTTCCTAATTTCCTTCTCAAGAACTTAAAATCTGTATTGAAATAACATTTGTAACTTTACGCAGCGAGATTTTAAAATGCTCATTACTTTTGGAATACAAGACCCAGGCCTGTTCATTCCTTCAACTCCCAGGCTGCGGCTGGAATCTAGGCTTCCTTCTCCTCTGGCTCACTGCTGCCTCACTGTGTTCCTCTTGCTGATTTGCACACAGATCCTCGGGGCTTTCCAGTCCTCAGCGACTGACCTGTGATCTCTGCTCTCATTCTCCCTCCTCTTTCTGGATTCCCTCTGCTCCTGTCAGACTGCTTGTCTGCTTGCAAACCGTGCTTGTTTCAGCCCTGTCCCTTGGCTCATAGGAATTTCTTACATTTGGGCCCCATCCACTTTCTTATTCACCTGCATCAAACATGTATTTGTTTAGGGCCAAGTTTAATTTTCATCTCTTAAGAGAAATCTCTCCAAACCATTAAGTGTATGATAGCCTTCCGTCTGCAGACCACTCCTCCATCTGCAGTACTGTTTGTCATTTAATCCCATGCTGTCTTCTCTCTTTAAAAAAAAATCATTTTATTAGGGGCTCATACAGCTCTTATCACAAACATACATCGATTGTGTAAAGCACATTTGTACATTCATTGCCCTCATCATTCTCAAAATATTTGCTCTCCACTTAAGCCCCTGGTATCAGCTCCTCATTTTCCCCCTCCCTCCGCACAGCCCCCTCCCTCATGAACCCTTGATAATTTATAAATTATTGTTTTGTCATATCTTACACTGTCTGATGTCTCCCTTCACCCACTTTTCTGTCCGTCCCCCAGGGAGGGGGTTACATTTCTTGTTGACTTTGTGAATTCTAGACTTTCCCTTCACCTTTCTAATCTTCTGTCCCGGTCGTTCCGTAGGTGGCCATAGATGAGCATACATAGAGAGCATCTCTTCCATGTAGGCAGGGTGGTTACTGACTGTTTCTTCTAGTCCCCAAATTAGAGCCTTTTGCATATTTTGATAATCGTTTCTGACTCTCTGATGTATATGAATTTATTATGTTTAATGCCATATCGTTATCTTGGTTCTGTGCACCTTTCAGTGTTTTTTTTAAAAAACCTTGTCAAGTTTCATATTACCAAATATCAATATTCTAAAAAATATGGAACGCTTCACGAATTTGCGTGTCATCCTTGTGCAGGGGCCATGCTAATCTTCTCTGTATCGTTCCAATTTTAGTATATGTGCTGCCGAAGCGAGCACCATGCTGTCTTCTCTTATTGACCATTCCGTTATGTCATTTTTCTAAGATTGTACTTGTCATGAACTAGGTAGCCTTCATGGCATATGCATGATAGAAATTCAATACATTTTTAATATAGGGTAATAATTTCAGTAATATTCATAGTAATTAGTAATGTAGGCTAGTACAATTCTGAATGCTTTGTGCTAACTCAGTTGACTTATTTAATTGTGCTAACTCAGTTGACTTATGTAATTGCACATCCGATTCTACGCTTCTCTTGCAGATGGTAGTAAGTATTGCTGAAGACCTCTTACGGACTGCTGCCCAAAACAGCCGGCTATCTTTACAGCGCACCCAGGCGGGGTGGCTTCTACTCGGAGCGCTGATGACTTTAGGTATCATTGTGTTTGTACCGATTCTCTGCACGGTCTAGCTGTCAATAGACTGCATGCCAAATTCAACTTTATTTAACCTCATGTTCTAGACTTCCAGATCAGTTGTAAAGTGGTGAAGCTGTTGGTCTTTTCCCTCCCATCATTAGATGGTAGTTTTCTATCTTGGCCGTTGTTGGTTAAGTGCATTTAATGGAAAAGTTCACACCAGAATTTCAGTCTTTGCCTTCAGAATAGCCGTCTGTCTGTTCTTATTGGTGGGGCCTTCAAATTGGTGCTGACTCACAGCAACGCTGTGTATAAACAGAATAAGACACTGCGTGGTCCTGCACTGTCCTCTACCTGGTTAGCTCAGTGCTCATCAAAAGAGAGGAGCATACGGGGGCAAGTTCTATAGGCCAAGTGAACACAAGTGTGCTTTTAGTGGGGTGATAAAGACATGGGTGCTAGAAATATTGATACATTTTCACGTTTATTTGAAACCAATAGAAGGGATTTTTTTATTTACTGTATAAAAACATTTCGGAAATAATGCTAATTTCAGTGATAGCATGAAGTGATAGATAATGTCAAAGTGGATGTGCAGGGGGCGGGTGTCTCGTTTTCTCTGGCTTTTGTAACGTGCATGTTATGTCTGGCTGTGTTCTCCCGTTTTCTTGTTTAGGGCCATCGGTGGTTCGTTACCATCTACCCAAGATGTTGTTACTGTGGCGGAATGTTTTCCCTCGTTCTTTAAAGGAGCTGGAGGCTGAGAAAGCCAGAGGAGATTCTTTTACCTGGCAGGTGACGTTGGAAGGCCGTGCTGGAGCTTTATGTGGTGAGAGTCAAAGGATTGCACTTTCAGAATATTGGTGTTTTAAAAATATTTATAAAGTGACGGGAATTTACTACTTCAAATTATTATTGTAGGGTTGTTCTTGGGTGCCATCACGTCAGTTTTCAGCCCATAACAACCTAGTGTGATAGAGATCTGCCCCAGAGGGTTTTCTAGGCTGTTACCTTTAAGGTGCAGATCGCTGACCGGGTTTGAATTGTGAGTGTGTCAATTACCAGTCAGGCACTTAACTATTGTACTACCTGGGCTCCTTTTTCTTTTAATTTGTGATGATAAGTGAGTTCTTAGAGATGGTTAGAAACTATGAATAATCTATTCCAGTTTACTAATTCTATTCAAATAGAAGCTGAGATTTTGAGAAGTGGATTAGAGTTGGTGGTAAGGAGGGAACTAGCCTCTTAATTCTCTTATTGCAGTCTTCCACTTGTGGAAGAAGCACTAGGTCATATTGGTATTTTACACAATCTAGTGAGTAAAGATGGGAGTTGTCAAAATTTCATGGTACATGGATCTACAATCAATTAATACTTAAAAAGGCAGCTGTCAGAAAAATCAAGTGACACACTGCATCCATCAAATTTGCTGTGCAAAACTTCTTTAAAGTATTCAAGAGCAAAAATGTCATTTTAGGACTAAGGTGCGCTTAACCCAAACCATGGTATTTTTAATAGCCTCTTATGCATGTGAAAGTTGGACATTGAATAAGGAAGACCACAGAACAGTGGATGTATTTGAATTATGATGTTGGGAGAGAGCATTGAAATACTGTGGACTCCCAGAAGAACAAACAGATATGTCTTGGAGGAAGTACTGCCAGAATGCTTAGAAAGGAAGATGGCAAGACGTCTCACAATTGTGGGGCATGCTATCAGCAGAGACCTGGTCCTGGAAAAGGCCATCAAGCCCCCCTTCCAAGGAAGGGGTGACACAGTGACTTTAACAGTGGGCTCCCACAGAACAGTCGGGAGGATGGGAAAGGATGGGGCGGTGCTTCATTCTATTGTATATAAATAAGGTCACTAGGAGTGGAGCAGACTTGATGGCACCTAACAGCAATGAGTATGTAAAGAAAAATGATAGCTAATCTTTATAGCTAGCCTTTTTGCAGTGGAAAGCCAGTCCTTTAGTCCCATCATTCTCAGATCCTTAAAGATTGAGCTATTTTTTCAGGCATCAGCATTGTAAAAATTACAGATGAAGTTGTTTTTGTTAGGTAGTCAACCACTTATAGGAAAAGCTCTAGTTTTGCTTCTCTTGGGAACTAGAATTAAACTGAGTGGCCCTGTTTCACCTCAGCGCGAAAGGGCTGCTTTTTCTAAATGAAGGGAGAGAGATGGGTTCTTACCCAGATGGGTGGCAGGGTGAGAGCTCAGTTTTGCTGCCCACACGTCTAAGAGGTGTTATTGTCAGCTCCATTGTTAAAGAACCAGTAAGATTCTTACTCCCGATTCTGCTTGAAATGGCTCTTTGTAGTCATCTCAATTACTTTGGGCTTAATGTCCTCTGAATTCTTACTCAGGACATCTCCCTAATAGTTACTCTCCCCCTGAGCCCCAGTTCCTGCTGTTTCCTTTTGCAATGACTTTTCTTCACAGTTGTAGTAGGTTTGTCTTTTGTCTTTTTGCTTGACTGGGTTTCAGAACCTTACATTTTACAACAATTGAAAACTGTAGGTACCTTTATATTTGTCTAATTTGATAAATTTATGCATCCTCACAAGCGCTGCTCCAAAACTG